AGGTCTGATCGCGTAACTGCGCAGTAGTTTGCCCCAGGGCAAACAGCCACGCTTCTCCCCTGCATTGTCCTGCCCGTGTGACCGGGGCCTATGATAGTTAAACCAGCTTAACTTTGTAGCAGAGACATATCCTGATTTTGAAAGGGGGGGGGAGTATTATTTCCTCTCACTTAGCTTACAGAAACAGAAGAAACAGACATTTGAATATTCCATCTGCTTGTTTTTAACGTGTATAACAGTGTAAGCCTCCTCCCATTCGCCCCCTCTTCATTGCTGTGTCGTCTTGTTTCTCGTTCCAGAGGCCATAACCAGAGGATGGAATTTCTGGGCGATTCCATAATGCAGTTGGTGGCTACAGAGTACTTGTTCATCCATTTCCCTGATCATCATGAAGGCCACCTAACGGTGAGATTGCCGCCCCCCCCCCCCCGAGCGCAGCAATGGGACACAGTGGGGAGAAAGATGAATGCTGTGGAAGAGGGGAGTGAATTAATGCCGGGTTTTAATTAATAGCAGCGGCCGCAGTGGCCTTTCGCTCCCAATAATTCTCAGTTAATTTGAAAGTGAGAATCGTCCCGTGACCATGGACGTTTTTAATTCAGGTAGCTTCTTCAGCTTTAATAACTGATAAACTAATTAGGGCTTTTTTGTGGTGGTGGTACTCACCAGTACCATTTACCAATTAGGGCTGCCAGCCTCCAGGTGGGGCCTGGAGATCTCCCGCTTTTACCACTGATCTCCAGCTGACAGAGATCAGCTCCCCTGGAGAAAATGGCTGCTTGGAAGGGTGGACTCTGTGGCACTGGACCCTGCTGAGGCCCCTCCCCTCCCCAAACCCCGCCTTCTCCTGGCTCCACCCCCAAAGTCTGCAGGTATTTTCCAACCCAGACCTGGCAACCCTATTACCAATACCCTTTTTTTGGTGGGGGGGGGGAAGGTTATCTCTCCACAAGTGAGAATTGCTCACTTTAGACAGGTGTTGTGGGCAGGTGGGATAGACGTATAAAATTCCCGGGGCCCAGGTTGCTCTGGGAACCCAAGTAGACAGGTCATTAACCAGCCTCGTTTTGCTCTGGTTTAAGGAACAGTTGGCACAATTAGTGTTGGTCCAGGCTGACCACTGAAATCTCAGGGCTTCTGTGATAGCTGGAAACCTCTCTTAAGAATTCAGAATTGCTCACTGTGACCCTTGGCTTGGCTTGAAACTATACATCAGTATAACACTTCCCGTGATTTCTAGTTAAGTGAAGAGTTAAAGTGAGGTATTCTGGATTTCCTTTTTTATTTTTTTAAGAGTTTTATTAGTTTATATATAAAAAGTGGGGAAGGGAAAAGAAGGGGAAAAGAAAGAATGCAGAGTTATATATATATATACAGGTAACAGCGTTCCGTGCGCCTCGGCGTTTTGTCATGCCGGCCACATGACCACGGAAACGTCTTCGGACAGCGCTGGCTCTTCAGCTTTGAAACAGAGATGAGCACTGCAACCCTAGAGTCAGATTCAACTGGCTTTCGAGCAAGGGAAACCTTTACCTTTAATATAACTCTGTATTCTGGATTTCCAAAGGGGCTGTCCGGTTTGCCCTGCCAAGAGGGAGTAGTGAAGGAGCAGCGAATTCCATTGAGTTCAGTAGGGTTTGTTTCACTTCTCTCACTGCTTACACACTCTCCTTTCTTCTATCTCTGCCTTTTTAAATTTTGTGTGAAGGGAGCCCCAGTGAGAATCTTTGCTGGGGCGGCGTGTCAGCGCATGACATGACACTTTTAACGAGGAATGTCAGTTCATGTCAGCCCGTGACATGAATGTCATGGAACCATTTACGGTCCAGCCTTCTCCTCTCTGCATCACCCAAACCTGGGTTCTGGCCTGGGAGCAGGGCCGCCCTCTCACTGCTTACACACCCTTCTTTCTTCAATCTCTGCCTTTTTAAATTTTGTGCGAAGGGTGCCCCAGTGAGAATCTTTGCTGGGGCGTTGTGTCAGCCCATGACATGATACTTCTGTGTTGGTTTTTTTTTGACATGACACTTTTAACGAGGGATGTCAGCCCGTGACACGAACGTCATGGAACTGTTTACGGTCCAGCCTTCTCCTCTCTGCATCACCCAAACCTGGGTTCTGGCCTGGGAGCAGGGCCGCCCTCAGCATCCCTTGAGGTGGGGCAGCTGCCGGGGCCCCGGACTCCTGATGGGGCCCACCGCTGCCGATCCCCACCCAGTGTTGTGCCACCCGTGCTTCCAGATGCTGAGCGTCATTGGGGGAAGGCATATGGTGCTCAGATGCTGGTGGAAGCCAAGACAGCAGTGCCCCCAGCGACACGCACTGGCCGATGCTGTTGGAGAAAGCGGGTGCCGCTGGTGTGGGCAACTGCGCGTTGGCAGTGGGAAGGCTTATGAGTGGCAGGGAGTGGGAAGCAGGCAAAGTATGAGGAGTGACTGGTGGTGGGCAAACAGGGCCCCTGGGCTCCGTCTGCCCAGGGAGTGTGACAAGGACGGAGAAAACCAGCTCCTACGTATCTAGGTTGCAACAGCAGTTGCCTGAGCTTTCACCAGTTTCCTCCCCAGATGCAGCGGTGGAACCTTTAAGTAATTTCTGTCAGGAAGGTGATGCAGCGTTGTCTTGTCCGTCCAGGGCTCTTTTTGTAGGAAAAGCCCAGCAGGAACTCATTAGCATAATAGGCCACACCCAACAGCAGGAACTCATTATTAGCATAATAGGCCACACCCAACAGCAGGAACTCATTCGCATATTAGGCCACACCCCCATGTTACCAGAAGGGTGGTCATCCAGCCACACCCACCTTTTGCTTCTTATTCTCTTTACCTTGTTTGTTGTCAAAACCCAGGGCCTTTTTGTTTGGAGCAGGAACTCCTTTGCATGTTAGGCCACACACCCCCTAATTGTAGCCAATCCTAATGAGTTCCTGCTGTTGGGTGTGGCCTATTATGTTAATGAGTTCCTGCTGGGTGTGGCCAACTGGGGAGCCAGCCGGAACTCCGTTCCTGTGTGTTCCTGCCCAAAAATAGCCCTGTCGTCAAAATCTAATATCCATATCCTGCCCTGGTGTTCTAACAAACTAGGGAAAGCTGTATTCCAGGGTTGGTTTTTTTTAGTACAAAACCCTATGTACTTTTTGAATCCATATCCAAAGAAGCAGAGAGTTTTCTTCTTTTGCAAGAACTGTTTTTTATCTGACTGCATCTTTGTCTTCCGCTTTTTAATCTCGCGCTCCCCCCCCCATGCCCACGACCTTCTGTTTAGCATAGCTCTGATTAACGTCTCTGCTCCTTTTGTCAGCAAATTAAAAATCCATGTTAAATTTCTTATCACCAGCCCCGCCCCCCCCTTTCTGCTCTCTTTTATCTAACTGAACAGAAATACCCTTAAAAAGTTGCTTTTGATGTTGCCTGGGCACACGTTACCTTCACCGTTCACAGCGCCACGGTGCTCTTGAAGCCTCCGCCCGTTATCTTTCCATCTTTTCGCAGAAATTTCACCTTTTTGTCTATTCATCCAGCCTTCGCATCCTATGCAAATTTCAACCCAGTGCTCAGTTCCGCTTTCTGAGCCACCGATTCACGACAAAATTTGTCCCGACAATAAGTTACGTGCTTATTCTTTTGGAAAGTTGCTGCTGTTAATTAAAGCACTTGGCCTCCTCTCTTCCTGTCAGCCATGTCTTAAACTTCTCACAGTTCTTAATTCTCAGTTGCCACAGATGGCTGCGTTTTTTTGTTTTTGTTTTTGTTTTTAAATAAATTAACTCTGCTGTCCTCTTAAAAACTGGGGAGCAGCTCGTTTTTGCCCTGTATCAGAGAATGGATTATAGGTCATCAAGTTTATTTGAATTAAATTGGCCAAAGTTGTAATAACAGGCACAGGTCCAGAATGAGAGTAATAATTTCTACGGCATACCACCATCATTTTGACAATTAGAGAGGGTTGTAACTTAAGGCACTTCCCTCGTTAAAAGTATCAGTTTTTCTCCGACATCAAGTTGCTCTCCGTGTTATGTCGAAATACAGTGTTCCGAATTACCTAAGGGAGATGAAACAGGGTGTGCTTCCTACCCTTCACCTTGCATTGTTCAGTCCATGAACTGCTTTTCTGTCTCTTTCTAGACGCCTTTTCTCCCCCCCCCCCAGTATTTTTTCATATGTGTGTGTGTGCGCACACACACACACCTGGAAGTCATGATGACCTCTGGTAACTGATTGTGCATTCACCTGGAAGTCATGGCAACCTCTGGTGACTGACCCCTACTTGGGGGCCTGGAGGATATTCAGAGAGGTAGCTGAATAAAACCTGCCCCACCTCCCAACTTCTAGTGTTCCAAGGAGGTCTCCCATCCAAGTACCTGCCCCCTCCTCCCGACTGCTGGTATTCCAAGGAGGTCTCCCATCCAAGGACTTGCCAGAATTGGCCCTGCTTAGCTTCCTAGATCCAGGGATATTTTTAGGCAGGAACGCACAGGAACGGCGTTCCGGCTGGCTCCCAAGTTGGCCACGCCCATTAGCATAATAGGCCACACCCAACAGCAGAAACTCATTAGGACTGGCTACATTAGGGGTGTGTCGCCTAACATGCAAAGGAGATCCTGCTACAAAAAAAGGCCCTGGGTTTTGACAACAAACAAGGTAAAGAGAATAAGAAGCAAAAGGTGGGTGTGGCTGGATAACCACACTTCTGGTAACATGGGGGTGCGGCCTAATGTGCTAATGAGCTGTGCTGTCTGTCGGGGCGTGGCCTAATATGTTTATGAGTTTCTGCTGTTGGGTGTGGCCTATTATGCTAATGAGTTCCCGCTGGGCTTTTTCTACAAAAAGAGCCCTGCCTAGACCTGTTGAGATCAGGCTTGCCTGGGCTATCCAGGTTAGGGCCCTAGAAGCCCTTTCAAGGCCCGGCTCCCAGGGAGGGCATTTCAAAACAGAGAGAAGAATGTAGTCCCTCTGCTCCCCTCTATATCGGTCCCCACTAGGAGTCATGAAGCGTCATCCTTGGACCACCCGTCCCTCATACCTTATCACTCTTCCTGATGCTTTCCTCGCCTTTCATCGTTCTCCTCCCTCTTCCCAGTTAAGCTGGCTCCCTGAATGTGACTGTACGTGGCTAGTGAAACTGCCTTCGTCCCCGGAGACCATCAGGTAGGGTCCTCACCTTGATGCCCGCCGACACCTTTTCTGGCACCCACAGAGTGTTTTTAGAAACTGGGTTCGGCCGGGTGGTGCGTTTGCCCAGCTAGTGCCGATCTTTGAGAACATTGCTTTGGCAGCGGCTGCCACCACAGCACAAGGATCTCCACTGTGTGACTGAAGGGAAGCCGTGGCAGTTGTTTTGCGGCTAGCTCCGCCTCCCGCAGCAGCCCACCACGCTGTGTCAGAATTCCAACAGTGCCCACAGGTTCCAAAAGGTTGGGGACCCCCGTCATGAGACTTAAGAAAAGACTGGCACTTCACAGAGCCCTCCCACTTAAAAGCCGCCATCGTGTTTGGCAGAAAGGAGGAGGAACGGAGAATCTTCCCCTGAATCTCTGTGGGGCCACCCAGAATTCTGCAACTCGGGGAAAGAGCCTCCATGCGCATCAGGCACAGAGCATTTTGGCCATGTGGATCGCCCACGTCCTGTGGAGAATTTCAGGACTCATTGCCAGATCATCCTGGAAATAGCTGGTGGTAACACGAGGGCACCAGCAGCCAAGCATTGATTCCTGC